TAGACGTTAACTACATTGGATTGTTTTTAATTTCCCTACTGAATATACACTGTTATTCACAGCGGTATGCCCATGAGTTGAGAGTGCTTACACTTTATTACTAGTCTGCTTTAAGAGACAAGAGCAAGTGCACACAGAGTACAGCAACCACTGTGCTATTAGATGAAAAGCTCACTCCTGTGTCTAGAGCCTATAGTCATAACAGAATCTCCACTGCCTGGAGAAAAGGGAGAGAAATTGTGCATGTGCGATTGAATACTTGTATATATGTGCACTGCATTATAGAAGTGTGTGGGAGAGATAGAGAGGAAAATAGTATAGGAAAGAGAGAATAACAAGATTTGGGTCTGTGTTTGTCTGTGTCATTCGAGGTAACATAGGCTGGGGAGAAGTCCCTTCTGCCTTCGCTTTATGTCCATCAGACACAGCTCAAGTCTGGCAAAGGAAAGAGTTTTCATCTGTCAAATGATGATGTCATAATTTCATCCATCACCAAAGAAAACAAAGTTTTAGCTGTATGTTAGCTGCATGTTGTGAATGGTCCCTATAAACAAGGCTATTTATCAGTTGTTGGATCCTAAGATTTACTAAAATCATTCAGAGTAGTTCAAGCCTTGCTCTGACCCTTCAGTAAACTGGCTTAACCTACATCCTCATAACTTCTCTGATCATTCTCTTGTAACATGATTGCTGTGTTGACCCATATCCAAAGGTCTTGATCAGCATTTCTTGATCAGCAAACAGCATTTGCTTAATGTCAAAAGGAAACAAACACTTTCTTACAGAGAATTTTAAAAGGTCAGTTTGACTTTCTGGCCTTGTCTACAAACTTATCTTGATTAATACAAGACAAACCGCTTTGTTAGAAAGCATTTCCCTTCAAATCAATTTCAAATCAGTCATACAAAACTAAAAAAGCAGCTCATTAGGAAGATTGTAGAATCTGCACACCTCCGTCAAAGACAAATGTTGTTATTTCAGCTTGGCACTGCATTCAAGTTGTTGTTTAGAGTCCCTTAATAGCAAATTTACTTACAGAAATTAAGTGAATTAATCTTTCAGGGACTTCCTGCACAGATGCCTGCTATTTGCTTTTAAGTGGGAAAAGAGTTGGTATAGAAATGACAGACCATAGAAACAAACAAAGAAATAAATGAATAAAGCAGATTATGCATTCAATTTACTTTACCGAGTAGCCTGAAACAGACTCGCTGCATCTACGTCTTTTGTAAGGACAAGCAAATTGGCTTGAACTCAGGTGACCAAGCGTTACATTCTGAGGCAGCAGTCTTGTTTTCCCATAGGGTGTGCAACTTAAGAACTGAACCAGACGAGTGGGTTTAATTTCAGTGTTTTCCTAGCATTGTATTGCACAGTAATGGTCTAATTCTTAATTGCTATGCTTTTTGCAAGTTCTTTGTTTCTATCTGTCAAATAAAAAAGCCATTTTGTTGATTATGGGTAACAACTTTTGTTCTACGCAATTGCTGCTTCTAGAACAGACAGAAGTGCTGCATTAAAATACATTGGGATGACATCGAATATACAAAGAAGATCTATATTTAGATCTATATAATAACATTTCTCAAATAGACATATTTCTTGTTTAATACAATTTTAATTGCCGCCTCGAGATGAACTTCTAATGAAATCTCAATTTCTAAGAGGAGTCTCCGCTGTGCAATATCCACAGTGACTCCATATCTTACAAATTTGCAATTTAGCTATACCTCAAAATTGCAACACTTTTTCTTACAATTTCAACTTCATAGCTCATACTTCTGACTTTATTTCTCATAGCTCTGATGTTATATATTGGGATTGCAGCTTTAAATAATTGCGAATTTCTCACACAATTGTGACTTTGTGTTGCAGAATTGTGACAATTTTTCTCATAATTGTGACCGCTGCTCGTAACTGACTTTATGTCTCACATTTGCAACTTTGTTTCTCACAATTGTGACTTTATTTCTCATATTTAGAACATTATTTCTCACAATTGCGACTTTATTTCTCATATTTACAGCTTTATTTCTCACAATTGCAACTTTAGAACTAACAATGGCGACTATTCTTATAATCGTGATATTGATTGCAACTATTTCTCACAATTGCAACTTTACTTCTCACAATTGTGGTTTTGTATCTCAGAATTGCAACTTTATTTCTCACAATTGTGAATTTCACAACTGCAACTATTTTTTTAAATTGTGATTGCAACTTTATTTCTCAAAACTGCAACTTATTTCTCATTGTTCACAACTTTAAATCTCACAATCGCTCACAACTTTATTTTTCATAACTGCATGTTTACAGTATTTCTCACAATTGCAACTTTGTCCTCAGAATTTTGACTATTTTTCTTATAATTGAATGACTCTTCTGAAATAGGCATACTAACACAATTTTAATTGCCATGTTGAGAAGAATTTCTTATGAAATCTTCGTCTCTAAGAGGAGTTTCCATTGAGCAACATCCACAGTGACATGTTCACATTCCACTAAAATAACTTTGCTTCTGATCAGGTCATTGAGCTGCCACTTTGACTATCTTTGGCTGCTACAGAGAGCACAAAACCTGTCAGCAAGCCGTGCTGATTGCATACATGACGTGATTAAGGAAATTACACTAATTCTGTCTGTTGTCCAGAGTAATTACAAATGATTCTGCTTTTGTGCTGTGGTGAAACTAAAGTGAACAAGAAAAAGCTCCATCCAAATTTCATTCTCAGCAGCAGCCCCCATATAAGCCAAATCAATCCAGTTACCTTTTCTTCTTAATCAGACCCACGAGAGCTCGTAGGGAGATGGATGTTTATATCAAATGCTCCAGTAGCCTTGGCTAACAAAGAGAGAAAGAGATTTCAAAACCTCTGCAGCTCAATTAACATTTGCAAGCTTTATCTCAAACCTCCATCCATCTGTCAGAGGAATAATCAACTATCTCAGCAACTCAGTTTCTCTCCAACATGTAGCCGCAGAGCTGGAAAGATTAATTAAAAATGTCTGTAGGTGAACGATCTTGTTGATTAATCATTGTTTTGGCAAGCTTTTTTTCAAGTGAGTCTTGGCTGCTTCTAAATTTGGGCCATTAAGTGACTGACTATTCCAGGCTGTTAATCTTATTATTCCTGGCTACCTGTAGTCTGTCCAGCGATAAACATTTCGCTTACTTGCATGTTTGCAGCAAGTGTGTGCAATAAATCAATATTGGTGAAATCAGTCATTCATAATTCTCACAGTCGAAAAATGGTTGACTATGAGCTGCTGTAGGTGTTGATATTGTAGAACAAACATGGATTTTATATTATAAGACCTGCCATCCAATTATTTCTAAGAACCAATTTCTCCTTGACTGTATTGATTCTGCAGTGCTAACTCTATGCAAGGCAATTAGCCAAGTAATTAAATTATGTAGTAATATTAAAGTGGTGGGCGCTTCAGGCTATATTAAAACCAATGCCTGATTCCACAACATTGTGTTTTTGCAAAAACTATTTTTTCTTTCTTTTAGAAAAGTGTGTTCCTCATATATCATTAACAACCTCATTGTCATAATTTGGCCAAAAAAAAGTAAAATATACTTCTTCACCAAGCATAATAATAAAGTAGAAAAGGTTACACTTTCACTGCTACAAAAACAACTTTACCGCAGCTAACAGAACACTGTGGAAATAGCATGCTACTTTTGTTCCTCCAATAGCCAACTGTTTAAGAGTTGAACAGACGCTGGGTTGACAGTCAAGGTAAAGTGCCATTGTTCAGGACAGATCAGGAGGGAACCAAGCAGCTCATTTTCAGCTCTTAACACATGATTCATAGAACTACATTAATAGGCTGCCAATGTTTTCAAATGTGGCATGTGAAGCATTTGAACATCAGAGTTCCTTAATTTATTTGTATGGAGATTTATTTGTATGGGAGAGCAGGACGTGTTGTAACAGAGTGAGTTGTAAACACCATCAGTTTTAATGAGCACCACCAGGAGAAACACTGAGCTAAGACAGTAAAAATTACACATCTGGTTTACGATTTGTGATCATGCTAATGGACAGTATATAGCAGAACTGATAACATCTGAATCAGCAGGTTGTCATGTTTAATTTGATATATAACATCCACAAGCTTTTCATCTACATCTCTAGCAATATTATGACTGACCAGACAGGCAAGGTTGAAACACTTTCCAATGTATTGGCTCAAGATGCACAGAATGGTACATTTGACACTAATTTGCTTAACACAAAAATAATTGTGAATAACACACTATCTTTTCTGCTTTTAAAGTTGTTCGCCTATTATGTATCTATTTTTTAAATTGATTTATTTATTTTTATTTAATTTAAATTATTCCAATATGTGTACCGTTTTGAAGTACAAATAAATAAATAAATACTAAGTAATTTAAAGTAAAATTGAGTGATAGGGGATGGCAATAAAAAAATTTTTTATTAATTTTAATAAATATATTTTTTAATATTTAAAAAAGTGACGTAAGTTTGACCACAATAAATCTATTCATAAAAAAAACTTCATGTTTTCTGTTAGTGTTACAGTAGTGGTAGTGGGGTAGGTTACATAATTTAGCAGTATATTTATAAATATTTGAATATGAGGATACTATATTAGTTACGGACGTTTAAACAAAATGTGTTGCAACACTGAAACGCTGCATACAGTGCTACCGAGATGCTTTAGGTTAATTTTTTATAGATAAATATCATCTGCACCACCTAGGCTAATTATATGTGCCACCTTTCTATCAAGACTCGAATGATTGTTGTTCCTTGCCGACCGCGATAAACTGCAATGTAATTCAATGACCACAAGACCAACATGCAACTGCAAATAATGCAAGTTTCTTCAGAAGTATCCATAACTACACCGGTTACATCTGTAGAGTAAATAACACCGGACTTATTGACTATAGCACTCCAGCGTGCCAGATGCCTCCCGGTGCCCACCACTGCAAGAGAGCCACGGAATCAACTGCAACTTACGGGATGATGGAGAAGCTGCCTGAGAGATGCTGATGTGGCTTAAAATCCACAGCAAGAGCTTCAGTCCGGTCCCGGCGGGTGGCTCCATCTTCGACTACAATGAGATGAGCGGAGACGCAGTTACTTTTCTCCACAGAGCAAAGCCTCTAGATGACAGAGACCCGCACTAACCGACGCTTCTCGGCTCTGGTACTCAGTGTCGACAAAATTTAGCGCAACAGTCCGGCTTTTCAGCAGCAAAAGACTACAGTGGAGCACTTTAATGCGGTATTTCAAGCCATGTCGAAGCGCGTGCGTCGAGCGCTTCAGTATATGACGCCTGACTCGCGGAAGTCGCTGTCCAGGTGCTGAAGTTACTACACGCAGCGCGCTCTCGTTCATATAAATACAGAACCCCTCTCTCCTCCGAGTTGGTACGTTCCACGAAACAGTGGAGCAGCCCTCGCGTGACAGGGGCCATTGCTTTGAGCGCCTTCTCATGGGCAGCAAAGAATAGATAACATTTGAATGAGAGTCGCTTTTATGTTTGTAACTAAAGCTGTTTCTGGAGGACTGATGATAATGGGCGAGATTTTGGCCGTAGAGTTCACTCAAATTACAAGGGCGGTCGTACGAGATGTTTAAGTAATTATAACGAATTATTACTGCAGAAATATGCACAGAAATATATACTTATTGTACAAACGGGTCCGCTAGACGGGTCTGTGGAAAATCGACAAAGAGAAAGAAAAAGAAAATGTTTTTAGGGCTGTCAAAGTTAAGACATTACCTTGAGATACTGATTATGTTGACTTTACAATGAAGTCCCATTAGTAATGAGTGATTCTATAATTGCATGTACATTTGGTGTCCGAAGTCATTATTTTTTTCTGCTTTTTTCAAATGGTTTGCTATTTTCAAATGGTTATATTTTGTATTATTTTAATACTGTGTTACTCATTGTTATGAATTACAAGATGTTACAGTCCATAATATTTTTTTGCAAAAAGTGTCTTAAATAGCTGATTTCTTGTCCGAATTAGTCAGTGCATTTTTTCCATCATGTATCATTGTGTAATAAAAATATTTTATTGTACTTTTCTTTTTGAAATATTTCATTCATTTTATTTATAAAAGCCCTAAAGAGTCATTTACCTAATTCTACAACATTATTATATTTTTTTTAAATAACTTTTTTCTTATAAAAATGTGTGTCCTTAAATCTTGCGTCAACTCTGTTACCGTACCATACTTTGCCTTTAAATTAGTGGAATTATCTCCCACAACTATGTAAGATACAGGAAATTATGTCACTTTCCCTCACTGTTAAGATCTGAAGCACTGAAAAGTCTATGTGCTCTCTCTAAGAAAATATTTTAATCTAAAAGTTCTTACACCAAGAGTTATTTTATAAAGTGTCAAATCTGTTACCACAATATCAAAAGGAAAACAGATTTTTTTTCATTGATCACACTTTGTGTTATTTAAAAGACTTTTAATCATGATTCCCTTTCAAGGGAACTTCGAACTGCGTCCTCTAGGGGTCGCTATGGGGACGCCTCGTCGTGACCCGTGTCTGAAGCATACATTGAAAAAACACCAACAACACGTTGGCCGGCGAGAGCCCATGACGTCACTACCGGTGCGATTATTAGTATAAATAGGCGCAGGGAGAACATGTCATTCTCTTCTTCGTCTTCACTGACTGTTTAGTTTGAAGCGTGCATTTGAACGTGGTAAGAGCGATCTACTATCTATTATTATGGCGAGCACTAGCAGAACGTTTAGAGGATGTGTGCATCCGTGTCGTCCGCTATTTGATACCTGATGACACACACAATCTCTGCGTTCTTTGTTTGGGCGAGGAGCACGCACGCGATGTCCTTGAGGGGGCAATTTGCGTGCATTGTGAGCG